AGTTTGAAGCTTATGCTTCACCAGCTGTATCTGCAGTAGAAAAAAGAACCTTTCCAACTGATATTGGTGATGGACCTAGGATGAACAAACACATTGCTTCTTGTGAAGCCAAGGATCCCCATGACATCCCTGAGAAGATAAATCCTATGGATACTGGGTCTAGTTATGACAGAGAAGGAAACCTACCTGGAGAGGATAGTGTTGCTTATTGCAACATGGTTCTGAAGTCTATTGACTGTTCTGATTCTGATGAGGAAAATAATACCGAGGAGGACTTGGCAACCTTACCTATGTATGCTATTGAACTGATCAAGTCCTCATGGTTGAAAAGGTCTCTGCTATCTTCACTTGATGAGGTGGTGGAGGTTGGGAAGAAGAAACATACTAAGTCTAAGTGGGGGCCTGTGCTAGCCCAGAAGCCTCAAACCATGGGACATGGTCATGTGAATATCATGCAGAAAGCTGCTGACTATAAGAGGAAGAAGAACTTGGAGGTGCCTCACACTTACATAGGTAACTCATTTGCTGTTATTAATCCTGATCTCCTTGTTGTTCATTCTGAGAAAATCAATCTGAAAATTGACAATGATGCCTGCTCTACACATGTGATTATTGATGATTTAATTGCTGATGAGAAGGAAAAATGCTTGATATTTCCTAATAATAATCCTGAAATTGTTTTGCCTGATAATTTAGATGTTGATGAAGTAGAGGTTGGGTTCATTTCAGTGGGGTGCACTCCTCAGCAATCAGTGAGCACTGTTGATTGCTGTGAGAAATCTCCAGCTGTTTTGACCAAAGTTAAGCCATGTGGCTTTTCACATCCTTTTAAAATTAATTAGATATGATAGGTCTCATTTGGAATATTAGGGGGCTGGGACAACCACGAAAAATTCAGTGCCTGTGTCATATTATTGCTAAGACTAACCCAGATTTTATTGGGTTTCAAGAAACTAAAAAAGAGCTCATCTCTGAGGGTCTCCTCAAGGCTGCTGATAGACAAAATCAATTTACTTGGCATTTTCTGCCTGCCTTGAATACTGCTGGAGGTATTTTGGTTGGGTTTAGAAGTGATATGTTTGAAGTTATTGGATTTATTAATAAAAAAATTGGTGTGGTTTCTACCATTAAAACCAAAAGTGATAAGTTTTTGTGGCAATTAATTGTTGTGTATGGGTCTGCTTACCTTGAGTTTAAGGTGGAGTTTGTTGCTGAGTTACATGGCATCTTGGAGTCTGTATCTTACCCTGTATTGGTGTGTGGTGACTTTAATCTAGTGAGACAACAATCTGACAAAAGCAATGGTGTGATTAATCCGCAGTTTGCCTTCCTTTTCAATGATTGGGTTAATAAATGGGCCTTATTGGAAATTTCTATTTCCACTAGGTCTTTCACTTGGTCCAACAATCAGAATAATCCTATATTTGCTATCTTAGATAGAGTTTTCACTTCTGTGGACTGGGATATGCATTTTCCTCTTTCTACTTTAACAGCCTTGCCAAGGGTGGGGAGTGATCACACTCCCCTAGTTTTAAACACTGGGGCTAGGAGAGCTAACTGTCCTAAGATGTTTAGGTTTGAGAAATGGTGGCTAGCCCATCCTGGGTTCTCTCAGCTTGTTCATGATGTGTGGACTAGGCATGGTGATGCTAGGTCTTCTATTGAGAACTGAATGTGTAAAACCAGAGTCTTGAGGAAAATCATTAAAGGTTGGAGTATTAATTTAGAGGCTGCCATGAAAAAAAAAAAGAAATACCTCCTTATGGAGTTTGACATATTGGATGTGAAATCAGAGTATAGTCAACTATCTCCTAGTGAGGGGGAGAGACTGAATCTCATTAAGAAAGAGCTAGATGATATTTGGAAAAAGGAAGAGACTGCCTTATGGCAAAGGTCCAGGGATAGGAAAATTTTGGAAGGGGACCGTAATAATGCCTATTTTATGGCTTTAGCTAATCATAGGCATAGGAAGAACCATCTGGCTGAACTAAATGGTCCTGATGGCCCTGTTACTAACACTGAGGATTTGCTGGATGTTGCTACCACCTTTTATAAGAAACTCTTTTCTTATGAGCAAAAACCTGATATCCATCTAGATGATGGCTTTTGGGATGATGGTGACATGATCACTGAGGAAAAGAGAGAGAGATCTTGGAAAACCCCTTCTATGAGGAGGAGATTAAAAAATCAATTATGAGTTCATATGCTGGTGGGGGCCCTGGTCCTGATGGTTTGTCTTTTATTTTTTATCAAACATTTTGGGAGTTGATTAAAGATGACTTTATGTGGCTAGTGAAGGATTTTGAGAATGGTACCTTGGATGTATCTAGATTGAACTTTGCTATTATTACCCTGATCCCTAAGGTGAATGATGCTAAAGATATGAAAAACTTTAGGCATATTAGCCTTGGGAACTGTTCTGTGAAGATTTTTTCAAAGGCTACGAATACTAGGGCTTCCCCTATCTGTGACAGAATCATCTCTCAAAATCAAACTGCATTTATTAAGGGGAGATTTATTCTTGAAAGTGTGGTCATGGCTCATGAAGTGATTCATGAGATCCATAGATCTGGGTCTAGTGGCTTGGTTCTGAAATTGGATTATGAAAAAGCCTATGATAGAGTTAATTGGGATTTCCTTGTGGAAATGTTGAGGTCTAGAGGGTTTGGTGAGAAGTGGATAGGTTGGGTTTGTAGCTGCCTCTATCAAGGTACTTTTGCTGTGAAAATTAATGACACCATTGGTCCTCATTTTGTAGGGGGGGGGGAGGGTTGAAGAAAGGAGATCCTTCATCTCCTCTTCTTTTTAACTTAGTTGCTGATGTTTTTTCTAAAATGCTTAAGAAAGCCACTAGCCATAACTTGATCAAATGGCTTTTGCCTCATGTTGTGCCTGGTGGTGTGGTCAGCTTGCAATATGCTGATGATACATTACTGTTCTTGGATGCTTCTGCTGATCATGCCAGGCACTTGAAATGGATCCTGGCTTGTTTTGAAAAACTCTCTGGTGTTTGTATCAATTTCTACAAAAGTGATTTGCATACCATCAATCTTGATGAGGAGACTCCTAAGGAATTTTCCCAAATTTTCTGTTGCCAAATTGGGGATTTCCCCTTTAAATATCTTGGGGTTCCTCTTCACTTCAAGAAATTTAGAAGAGAAGATATACAACCCATTATTGATAAAATTATCAGGAAAATATCTGGGTGGCTGGGCAGACATCTGTCTTATAGGGGTAAATTGATTTTACTTATTACATGTATTGCTAGTATTCCTACATACTTAATGTCCATTATGAAATTTCCTAAGTGGGCTATTGATGCTATCACTTCTCAAATGGCTCATTTTTTCTGGGGTAATGTTGGAGACAATCATAAGTACCATCTAGCCAGGTGGGGGATGGTCTCTCAAAGGAAAGAATGGGGTGGTTTGGGGGTTCCTAATCTCAGGGAATTCAACATGTCCTTGCTTGCTGCTTGGAGTAAACGTTTTTTTGATGATAGAGATAGTGACTGGAAGAAATTGCTAGAATATAAGTATAATGTGAATAGACCAAACATACTATGGGCTAAGGCTGGAGTAGGCCCTCCCTTTTGGAAGAGTTTCACCTGGGCTTGCTCTCCTGCCAAAACCTTTTATAGGTGGATCCCTGGGAATGGGAGAAAAATATCTTGCTCTGCTGCCAAAACCTTTTATAGGTGGGTGATTGTTCACTCAAAACTAGATTTTGGGATCTTTTTGTGATCTGTCAACAACAAGAGGCCTTTGTTTGCCCAGGTGTGGGATGGGGAGAATTTACAGCTGACCTTTAGAAGGTGTGTTAATGCGGATGTATTGTGCTCCTGGAATGAACTACTTAATGTGATTAAAAATGTTCCTTTTAACAACATGGCTGAGAAGCCTATTTGGTCCTTGGAAAGTAAAGGGTTATACTCTGTTAAATCTATGTATAAGATGATTAATTGGGGGGCATGGTCTCTATCTGGAGGGATTATATTTGGAAAATTAAAGTTCCCCATAATATCCATGTGTTTCTCTGGCTAATTGTGCACAATAAGAGTCTGACTAGGGACAATCTGGCTAAACGCCGACATGTGGAAGACCTGACTTGTGTCTTCTGCTGTGAACCTGAGAGCATCCAGCATTTGTTTTTTGAGTGTGTGGTGGCCAGACAAGTGTGGCTGGTGATAGCTAATTGTACCAAGATGCCTGTACCTGACTCGTTTGAATCTTTGCTTCCTTTTTGGAAGAAGAAAGAAAAGTTTTGATGCTGTAAACTTGATTTCTGCTGCTATCTTATGGAGCTTATGGTTGTTTCAAAATGAAATTGTGTTCTAGGGGCGAAGATGGTGAAGCATCAAATGTGTGCTGAAGATGGTGGGGAGACATATCTATCAATGGAAGATCCCGTGCGTGGACTCCCAAGCTGTGCTACTCCTCCAATGCTTGAAGCTGCTCGACCATCATCGCGGGGAGTTGCTTAGAATTGCCTGGCACGTTTGATGCGTCTGTAGGGAGTTCGTAGCCTTTGCGCTGGTAGTTCCTATAGGGGCCATTTCGTCGTTTTCTGGTGGATTTTCAGACTGTTGATGCTTGCGTCTGTAATAATTCTGCTGTGGCTACTCCTGGCTGAAGCCGAGAGCTGTGAACTTTGATCTTTGGTTGCCTTTGCTTTTTTAATAAAAAGTTGGGGCAGGGGGGCAACCCCTTTCGTTTCAAAAAAGAAGGATACTCTCCTTTTTTCCTTCATAAAATTTCTCTACCGAGTGTCATCAAGCAGCAGCATAGTCGCAAGAGAACGGTGCAATAATAGAGGGGATAATCGAATCTTGCTTTTGCACCAATCCTCACCGTCCATCTTGTCCTGTCACTGTCACTCGCCACGCTATAAATAGACCCGTCCTCAAAACATTTGCTACAAGCAAGCAGCCACACGTACCGGCGTTGATCACGTACATTAGCTACATTTGCTACAAGCAAGCATCACCACGTACTTTTAGCATGGCGGGCTACTACAACGGCGGCGGCCGGACCATGTCCTACTCCAACACCGATGAGTGCTTCCACGGCGGCAGGACCATGTACTCCAACACGACCGAGGAGTGCTACGACGCCGGCAAGCACGGCCACGGCCACGGCCACGGGCATGGCCATGGCCACGGCGGGGCAAACATGTACGCCAACACCACTGACGTGGAGTGCTTCGACTCCGGCAGGCACGGCCACGGCGGGGGCGGCAGGACCATGTACTCCAACACCGTCGACGAGGAGTGCTTCGACTCCGGCAGGCACGGGCATGGACATGGGCATGGCCACAGCTACGGGCACAACGACGGCAGGGCCATGTCCTACTCCACCACCACCGAGGAGTGCTTCGGCGGAGGGGAGCAGGGGCAAGGGTACTACAAGAAGGAGGTGCAGCAGCACAAGAACAGGGAGCGCGTCGGCGAGGTCGGCGCCCTCGCCGCCGGTGCCTTCGCCCTGGTAATCAATCAATTAACCTCACTCAACAAATCAACATTACATGGGACAATTTTGTACATGTAATTAAGATGCATGATCTTTGAACTTGGTGTGCAGCACGAGGGGTACGAGGTGAAGAAGGACCCGACGCACGCGAGGAAGCACCAGATCGAGGCCGGCGTGGCGGGCGCTCGGCGCCGGGGGCTACGCGTACCACGAGCAGAAGCAGGCCGCGTACGGCGGGCAGCAGTACAGGATGCCCGTCCACAACAGCTACTGCAACTGAGTAATCATGCATGCATCCAACGTCCACCGATCGTCGTATAGACTCCGATAAGATCGATAGAGCATCATGCATGCAGACATGCGTGTGTTGCTTACGCACTCTTATAAGATCGGTGTCTCTACAATAAGCTAGCTGCATGCGTTCGTGCTACTTGGGCCGATTCATCTGCAGTTTGTTCGCTGTCGAGGGATAGACTTGCAACTGGGATAAAAGAAGGCCGGACCCTAGTGACGAGTCGAGGGTGGACTCACAAGTCACAACTGGGACTAAAAAAGGCCGGGCCCAAATTGCGAGTCGAATTTGGACTTGTAACCGGGTCAAAAAAGGTTGGGCCCCAGTTGTGAATCGAGTGTGAACCTGCAACTGGAACAAGAAAAGTTCGAGCCGCAGTTGTGAGTCGACGGTGGACATGTAACCGGGACAAAAAAAAGGTCAGGCTCCAGTTGCAAATCGAGGGTGAAGTTGCAATTGGGACTAAAAAACTCAGGCGCCGGTTGCGAATCAAGGGTGGACTGGCTACTCAGAAAAAGGTTGGCCTCTAGTTGCGAGTCGAGGGTGGACTTGCAACTCGGACAAAAAAGGTTAGGCCCAAGTTGCGAGTCGAGGGTGTACTTGCAAGTTGGACAAAAAAGGTTGGGCCGCAGTTGCGAGTCGAGGCCGGTGGTGGACTTCCAACTTGGATAAAATAGGTCGATCCCTAGTTGCGAGTCGAGGGTGTACTTGCAACTCGGAAAAAAAATGTTGAGCCCTAATTGCGAGTCGAGGGTGGACTTGCGACTAGGACAAAAAACGGTTGAGCCCAGTTATGAATCGATGGTGGACTTTCAATTTCGCCAAAAACCGTCGGGCCCCAGTTGTGAGTCAAGAGTGGACTTGCAATTAGGACAAAGAATGTCGGGTCTAGTTGCGGGTGGAGAGTGTAATTGCAATGGGGAAAAAAGGCCGGGCCCTAGTCGGGACTCAACAGTGGACTTGCAACTGGGATAAAAAATATCCGACCCCAGATGCGAGTTGAGGGTGGACTTTTAACTAGGACAAGAAAGGTCAGGTCCTAGTTACGAGTCGTGGTGGGATTGCAAGCAGGACAAAAAAAAGATTGGATGCCAGTTGCAAGTCGAGGGTGCATGCCCCCGCACCTTGGTGCCCTTCCAAATTTTGCAGACACGAGGCATCCTAGAAACATGAGTAAATTACATCTATAGTATCTGAACTTGATCTTAGGGTTCATTTTGGTCACTGTATTTAGGAAAGGTCAAAATACGGTCACCGAGGTCACCAGGACGTGTCACTCTACGGTCACTAGTAATGTATCCTTTGTATTTCGCTGACGTGGCAAATACTCCTCTCTCTCTACTGCCACTCCTCTCTGAAATTCTGTCGAACATCTTATCTGCGTTCACCGTTGAATAGCACGCCGAGCTCCAACCGCTGCTGTAGCTCTCCAGCACCGCGTTCTAGAGCTCCCGAAGCCTCGTGTGGTCCATGAACGATTCTAACTTGAATCCCCAACTCCTGCGCCACGCCCAACTTGAAGTTCATCAGCGTCGTTGGCCGACTGCCGGTGCCATATTTGCAAGTGCATGGGTGCGTGGCGCCGATCGGCACCATGTTTGCGATTTTATCAACACAGGCCGTCCACCCTACCATGCTCCTTCGTATATTCTCAACCTTCATCGCCTGCCTGACATGGCTGTTGACATGTTCTTTCCCCACCTCTCGTCTAGCTACACCCCCACACCTCGCAGGCATACTCCCGGTTGGTGTACTGGTCGGCACGCCGGATGCCAAGTTGGGCGGCGTCTTTGTTGAAAAGGGATTACATGTGCGGGGACTTGACGCGGAGAGCTGTGACGATCTCAGACTGCTCGCGTATGGCTTCGCCCCGCAGAACATCATGTCCGCCTGTTCTTTCCGCCACCCCCGGGAGACGGTGTCGAGCTCCACGGGTTCGGCGAGGCTAACCATTGTATGCCTCCCATTGAGCCGGGGAAATGCACGGAGATCGCCCCGCACAGCGGCTTGCTCTGTATTCTGAACACCACATATGAGTTTGGCAACGCTGGAGGGGACGTAGATTGCGGCGACGGCGGCGACATGGCCTCCGTGAGTGCTGGCCGCTCGCAGGAGGTTCCCGGGTGGGAGAAGTGCTCTTTGTGGCACACTAGCTAGGCAAGCAGATGAGGTACACGTGAGGGGAACCGGCTTTCCAGGAGGCGGAGGCGCGCAGGCGGCTGAGGTGCGAGCAGACCTTGTAGTCATCTCGGAGCATGTCGAAGAAGGCGAGCTCGTCCGGGTGCAGCGAGCCGCCGTACTGCTTGACGAAGAGCGGGGCATCGCACGAGAGGAGCTCGAGTAGGGCGGTCTTTCGCCTTAACCGGGACGGCGCGGCGTGAAGAAGGGCGGTGGGGAAGTAGAGGCTGTTGACAGAACAGAGCCGAGCAGCCATGCGGTACATCGTCACGGGCTCCACGGCTGGTGGACATACGCGGCAACCAGTGCTCAGGTTCATTCATCGGATGCGAAGAGAGATGAGAAGGATGAGCTTGGCACGTAAACAAGTCAACCGTTAGGACAGGTCAACATATACCACATCAGTGAAATACGTTGGATACGGTAGTGATCGTAGAGTGACACATTTACGCAACTTCAGTGACAACACTTCCTGAATACAGTGATAAAAGTGAACCCTAGTGTCAAGTTTGAGTACTATAGATGTAATTCACTCCTAGAAACACGGGCAGTTTACAGAGCAACACT